CTTCTCATCAGTCATGGAGCTCGTGTTAATGCAGAAGATGAAGATAAACGAACGCCACTACATGAAGCTGCCAGACGGGGTAATATTGCAAACTATCGACAAAAAATATGAATTCCTTTTAATGTTTGATAATTTGCGTTCCAGGTGAGAAGGATTTGGTCGAACTTCTCGTCAATCATGGCGCGAGTGTCAATGCAGAAGATGAAGATAAACGAACGCCACTACATGAAGCTGCCAGACGGGGTAATATTGCAAACTATCGGCGCGAACTATGAATTCTTTTCAATATTTGATTCTTTGGTTTACAGGTTGGAAGGAGTCGGCCGAATTTCTCCTCAATCATGGGGCTAGTGTTAATGCAGAAGATAAAGATAAACGAACGCCACTACATAAAGCTGTATTTTGGGGTAATATTGCAAACTATCGACTCGAACTATGAATTCATTTAAATGTTTGATAATTTGCATTTCAGGTGAGAAGGATGTGGTCAAACTTCTCATAAATCATGGAGCTAGTATCGATGCGAAAGATGAGAATGGATTGACTTCACTTCACGTGGCTGCAGAAATTGGTAACTGACAAACAATCCAATCAAACAATGATTTTTTTAATGTTCATTTGTTATCAAAATTTTGAGCTTAAATTTCCTTATTCATTACCAGTGTTTCGAGTAGATTAAAAATCTTGAGATTTTTTAGATAGATTTCTAGATAGATCAAATCTAAATCTGATCTTAGATCAATAGAAAAAAGGTATAATAAATCTAATCTATCGGGATCTGGATACAAAAATCTGTATCTAACGAGAGATATCTAAGATTTACAAGCTTAACACTCAAAAGCATTCTTTTCTGATTCGGGCCGAATATGACGTTAGTTTTAAGATGAAATCAATTTTTCACAGACTTTTTCATACAAAAATTCACAAAAAAAATATTTTTGTATAGGAGTCATGCTTGTGGTAGCGTAATGACATGAAACTTTACACAGGTTGTTTTTTCCACAAGAAAATTACATTCTGAGAGTTTAAAGAAATTTCAATGCATATTAGGGATACCTCCCATACAAAATTTTCGGTTAGCCATATATTGAGCTATATTTTTGATTGAAATTTCTTTAAACTTTGTGAGATTATTTATATTGATAAGAAAATAATATTCACAAGTTTTCACGGCGATTTGAGTTGCTGCAACCAAACATAGACCATAATTTCAGTGTATTCCCAAATTTTTGGTTCCGTGGGACGTTACACGCTATATTAATATAGTCTAATAAAGTCAAATAAATCAACTTAAAATGACTTCGATCTCAGTCGGTTTAATGTGAAAACGTCCCAAAAAAAGCCAGTCAGTAATTTTCCACAAGGGCTGTTTACCTGTTTACCCAAGTCCCATTTGGACTTAAATTTAAAAGTATATTTCAGATCAGATATGAGATTAATCTAGATTTATCTCGATCTGAGATAAATATAAAAGCTTAGATACACAGAGATCAAAAATCTAAGATTTTGATCTCAAATCTGATCTAGATAAAAAAAATGATCTAAAAAAAACACTGTTCATTACAACAAATCGAATTTTGAAACAACAAAATCAATTTCATATTAGAAATGGTCAGAATCAATTTATTCAAATTTCAAAACAATATCCAGGTCGAATGGATATTGCACAGCTACTCATCGATCATAAAGCCACTGTTGATGCAATAAGTAAAAACAGCACGACGCCCCTTCACGTGGCTGCAAAATTTGGTAATAGTACGACCTATTGAGTCAATATATGTCTGCATACCAATGTTTCTCTGATTTGCTTTCCAGGTGAAACGGATGTTGCCAGACTTCTCTTCAGTCACGGAGCTTATGTTAATGCAGTAACTGATGATAAATGGTCAGCGCTCCATTTCGCTGCAGAAAAGGGTAATAGTCCAAGCAATTGATTCGAACTATGAATTTCATTTAAATGTTTGATAATTTGCATTTCAGGTGAGAAGGATGTGGTCGAACTTCTC